CACACAGACACAGACACAGACACACCACACACACACACACACGGGGGCCCCCCCCCTTGCGGGATCCTGAGGGAAGAGGACCGCCACAGGCAAGCTCCAGGTCGGGCCTGTCCCCCTACACGCGATTGTGAGGCGAAAAGTTCAAAACACTCCAGACATGCTCCCAACATACTCCAAAACTGATCAACAACACACTCTATGAATAATCCGACACCGTCCCCAGACTGTTTTCTGACTCTGTTTGACCCTTCCTCCTGTAGAAGGACAGGCCCGACTTCACCCTCGGGGTGCAACTCCTGCTCCCGCCAGTATCAAGGGGAACTGGGACACACAAATAAATAGACACAAATAAGAAGATTCCCCATATTTTCCCATATTTTCAGGGTTTCTGTCTTCCCCACCACTTCCCATATTTTCCCATATTTTTCTGGGGATCGACGATTAATTGTGTCTGTGTGTTTCTTTTCCTCCCGCCAGTAGTTTTTCCGCCGAACTCCCGCGCCGGCGAGGCCGCCCCCGCCGCGCAATGGCCGCTCCGCCCGCTCCGCCGAGGCAGAGGTGCCGCACCCCCTTCGGCCCCTCGCGGGCGAGGCCCTTCCTGGAGGCCTGGAGCGTCCGGTGGCAGCTCCTGGGGGCCTCCCATACAGTCGGGGCCTTGACCCAAGGAACCCTAAATAAGCAACGAGGCTCCTTTTTCCCATCAGTGAAAGCTTGATTCCCCGTCGAAGACCGAAGGAAAACCTGAGGCAAGCTGTGAAACACTTAAGGAACGCGGAGCCCCTCCCCAACGAGCAGGGTTCCTTCTTCAGGGCCCCGACTGTACCATCTTGTCGGCTCTTGACGCCAGCCGGCGCCACTCGACGCGAGGTCGATGCGAATTCGACACTAGATCGGCGCTAGCTCATCGACCCCCCCCTCCGACGCTAACCGACGCCAGTCGACGCTGAAGACAGACTTGCGAGGGTACACGAGGCTCCCATACCTTGCTACCGAAGGAGCGCCCCACGTGTTGACCGCGATCGTCCTCTCCCGCCGCCCACTTCTCGCGCTCCCTCGGAGCGGCACTCGGGGACCTTCTGACCCGGATCAATCCAGACCCTGGTCTGTCAGGCCTTGCACAATCCTGCAAGATCCTGCACCCCAAACCTGGGCCAATGCGAAGGATCCTACAAGATCCTGCAGGATCCTGCACCCAAGCCCGAGTCATTGCGACCGTGGCCCTGCAGGTTTCTGCCAGATCCGCCGCTCTGGCTGACCCCCGTTGGCCTGAGCATTGTCTTAGGGTGGAGGGCATAGAGTGAAATCCACCTGGGCTTTTGCACCTCGAACAAACAATCAGCCTTATGGTTGGGTGGCTTTCAGGGGTGCATTCTGTGGTGTGTAGCGGCCTGTGTATATGCAGCGCTCTGGATTCTGCTACGACGTCATGATTGCGACCACACGTCATCAAGCGCCGTTGATGGCTCGCAACCGACGGTCTTTCAAACAAGGCTTTGCCGCCCCGCCGACGTCACCGCGGGTTCTTCGTGCCTCGACGAATCCACGCTCAGCGCACCTGCGAATGGCAGGTGGGTGCGAACCCTCTCGACATGCCATTCGATGCCCTTCCCTCTGTTGCCGGCGCCCCGTCCCTGATGGGCCCAGTGGCTCGCTGTTGGTAGGAAGGCTCGCTGGTTGGTTGGCTGGCGGGTTGACTGTTGGGCTGGATGGTTGGATGGATGGCTGGGTTGGTGACTGGCTGACTCTCTCTGCGCCCCCGAGCACGCGACTGGCGCCAGAAAGGTGAACGGGCACGCGACTGGCGCGCGGCAGGTGTATGAGCACCCGACTGGCACCGGACGGGTGAACGAGCACGCGACTGGCGCCCGACAGGTCAATCCAGAATTCTAGAATCGTTTCTTGCGTTCTCGAATTCACTCGGTCGTTCTAGAACTGTTTTGGACGTTCTAGACTTTGTTGCCTTCGCTTTTATGCGGTGTGGTTGTTTTGGTTTTGCGTTATGGGCCTACTTCTGCTGTTCTAGAATTCGCTTTGCGGTTCTAGAAAATCATTTTGCGTTCTAGAACCTGTTTTTTGCTTTTCGGGAACCGCCTCCGACCGTTCGGAAGGAAACGCGCGGGAAAACCCGCGGGGGTTGGGATTCGGGGGCCCATCGCGGGGCGGCTGGGGTGGCTCCGATTGGAGCCCCGAGCGGGCTTCGGAGGAAAATATGAGCACGTTTGCAGAGCCGCCGTACTCCAGGTTGGTGACGTGGGGGCCAGGGGCCTGGATTTAGAGAGGGCGATTCCAATTGAGGTGCTGGCGACGGCGTGGGCGTGGTCAAGGGCCGAGCGCACGCGGATCCCAGAAAATGATGCGTTGGCCCCCTGCTGCCATTAACGATTCGCGCGGGCGGGCGGATGATGATGGGGGGGGTGGAGGGGGACGGGGGGGGAGAAAGAGGCAGAGAAGGGGAAATACGAGCCTTGGAGGAGGAGGTGCAGGAGGAGGCGGAGGCAAGGATGGGGGCGGAGGCGGAAGCGGGGGCGCAGGAGGCGGAGAGAGGGAACGGACAGGGGGAGAGCTCCCCATTCTGGACCTCTTCTTGTAAGTGACAAGCATTTCCCTATCCGCGAGGGGGAGGGAAGTTGACGGGTGGCGATGTGTTGGGCGAGGGGGCACTGCAGATTTCACCCTGTGCCCTCCACCCCAAAGAACATGCTCGGCCTGCACCGGCCCCCGTCGAAAGAGGCCCCCGAGGCGCGAGCCGGCCGAGGCGGGCCGCCCCCGGAGAGGCCGCCGCGCAGCGGGCCTCGTTCTCGCAGAGGGCGAAGCGGACCTGCAGCTTGCCCTGCTTGTAGTCCGCCCGGGACCAGACGTCCTCTCCTCCTCCTCCTCCTCCTCCTCCTCCTCCTCCTCCTCCTCCTCCGGGGCTCACAGGCCAGGACGGATGCCATGGTGCAGTCGGACTCGACTGGACAGGACACGCGAGAGGGCACAAGACCCTTCCGAGGGCCACATCGCCGCAGGAATGTAGGATTGGACAGGACACGCGAGAGGGCACAAGACCCTTCCGAGGGCCACATCGCCGCAGGAGTGCAGGAGGCATGGGCCGCGAGGCACAGGACACAAGGGTACCCTTGCTCTGGCAGGGTCGAACTACTAGTCTGGGCCGACTGTACTCGGGGGCGCGCAAACATGGATTAGCGATCCATGGATTTGGCGCGCGGTCGCCAAATCCATGGATCGGGGGAGGTGCCCTCCCCAAGATGCGGGCTGGCGCCGCCTCGCTCGGAAGCAGACACCCGCGAGTTCCCCTGGAAACGGGACCCGTCGCTAATCCACGCCCCCTTGATTCATGTTTGCGATCGCCTGAGATACGGTTGGCTCGGGATTCGATCCAGAAGTCATTCATGACCATTCCCCCCTGGGACGGGGGCGATGTCATGTTGCGACTGTCTCAGGATACGCTCCAGGAGTTCTTGAGAGCTGGCGGCTCTCGTGTCTGCAACTTACGCGGGACACTGGGACGACTTGAAGATACTGGAATCGCTGAAACGTATCATTCTCATGACACCTTGCTCCTCGGACCATCCCGTTATCCTGACTTGCAGTCCGATGCCCGCCGTCCTTTCTTGATCAGTGGCAAGGCTGAACTACTCTTGGGCTGAGCTGGGACGATCGTGGGACCCTGTTCGGCCGTCTAGGCGTTTTTTTTTTGGGGGGGTCCTATCGGGGACACCTGCGTTGTCCTCTCAGGTATCGCTAGACCCATTTGGCGACTTCTGATGCTGGTTCCGCCTGCTGCCTGCAGGGCTCGCTGTGCCTTGGTTCCCGATTTCTCTTGCATCCTGGAACATGCGCGGTGAGCCACAAACGGCTGGTCAGGTTCTTCGTTACTCGACTCGTCCTTGTACTCCGTGGCTCCCGGGTCACGAAGGTACCGAGCTTAGTACCCCTCCCATTCCTCCCCCTGCTGGGCTCCCCTCTCTTCCTTCACATCTCCCCCACTGTTCTCTGAACTGCTTGGTGCCACTGCTGCTCGTGTGACATTGGTTGTCGCTCAGCTTGCCGTCATCCTGCCCAGCACCTACGACCTCCTCCCTAATTCACCTCCTGACTTGCCTGGTCTTCTCCCTTGATGGATGGTTTGTCACCTAGCTCCTCCTGGCTTCTACCGTGGCCTCGAGCCCAGCAGCTTGCGTGAATTTGATGTGTTGTTCCTGGCTTGCAACATGTTCTCTGGACTTCTTCCTTGCTGGCCACCTGGCGTGTCTTCTTGCCCGGCCTCTGACTTGACTGCTAGCTTGTGCGACAGCTCTGCCTCATTGTGCATACTGTGTTGATTTCTAGCCTGGCTCCTGATTCTGCCCTGCTTTGCTGCTGGCTTTCCCTCAAGCAAACCTTCCAGTCCGCTGTTGGCCCCACGACCTTCCTCAACCCTCCTGCCGCCGCCCCTTCTTCTGCCCCTTGTCCCCCTGCTGTTGTTGCTTTGTCCCCCTTCTACTCCTGCACCCACTTCGCCTCAACCACCTCGTCCCGTATCATCCCGTTACACCCATCACTCCCCCCTTCATCAATCCACCCCGTCCCCCAAGTACCCCCGCTGCCTCACCTGATCCTGACGTTCGCTCGCGCATGCTGGTGAATGCCTGCCGTCTGAGCGCCAACACCGCGAGCAAGAACTTCACGCCTGGGAAACGAGCTTCTCATGCTGGCTAGCCTCTTCTTCGGTATCCTCAAACTTGGTTGGATCTCTCACTGCGTGTCAGATGCTGGTTATCCTCGTGATCGAGATCCAAAAGCACGAATTCGGTTGGATGTTCCCCTACCTTCTAGTACGGGTGGCCACAAGCGTGTAAAGAGGTCAGCTCTAGGCTCTAGGCGACGAGTTGAGGATGTGAACTAAACTAGATAAGCGCGTTCCACTACTTGCAAAATGACTACTCGCAAATGGCCTGGATCCGCCGCGGGGGATTTACGATACACTACGCCGAGGCAACAAACTATGTTTCGGGCGT